ATTAGACACAAAAGTTGTATTTCTTTTTATATAGGTCTTTTATCTTGGTCTTAACCATCCAGCAGAAAAGTATAAAAACAAGGTAAAAAAAAAAAAGTAAATCCATTAATATGCGGAGCTGTAAAAGGCTCAAGTCAACAACTTCTGACACTGCCACATATGCGGATAACCCACTACTATTATAGACTACTGGACTATATTGGATTACTTTGCTGAATTCATGCACCTACAATATATAAATGGCAATGGAATACCCATCTTTGACAAAAGTAAACAAAAAAGGGGGATATAAATTTAGGGCCATTTTGTAGTTTTATATATATATATATATATATATATATATATATATATATATATATTAGCATATATAGCTACTTTCTCTTCGTTCAATGAGAAGAAAGTTTTGAATTAATAGTTTTTAGAGAAGATATTATGTTTGCATCTTGTACTATGAATTACTAGTACAAAGCCAACAATATGCAATGTATTAATTATTGTAACTGTTTTACTAACTTGTTTTGAAACTGTCTCATTGTTACTTCTCTTAATAAAATATTATAAAAAATGAATGAACAGTATGTAAAGAAAATAACAATAAATTCTATTTACCATAACATAAAAAAAATAGTAATGCACCTTAAGAAAATCAAGGATTTTTACAGTGAAAACTATAAAACATCACTGGAAGAAATAAATGAAAATACGTTCCATGTGCATGGACAATAAGACTTGACATTGTTAAGATGTGACTACTATACAAATCATCTACAGATTCAAATGAATTCAGATTTCTATTAAAACCTCAATGATACTTCTTGAATAAATCTAAAATCTATCCTAAAATTTACACTAAATCCCTACAGACCCTAAACAGTCAAGAAATATTGAGAAATTAAACAAATTATTCATACTTTATTTCAAAGTATACTAAAAGCTACTGTACTCAGAAGTGTGATAATGGCATAAGTCTCAGAGATCAAGGGAATAAAACAGATGACTCAGAAATAAACTCTCATGTATTGTCAAATAATTTTGACAAGTGTACCATGATCATTTGATGGGGAAATACTACTTCCAACAAGTAGTATGAAAAAAATGGATATACACACTGTAAAAGCATGAAATTTGATCTTTCTCTAACACCACATATAAAATTAGAAAGGAAAAAAGGGAGAAAAGCAAAAAAATATCTATCTATCTATCTATCTATCTATTATCTATCTATCTACCTACCTACCTACCTACCTATCTATCCATCCATCCAAGATGGTTCTGATAATTATTCTACTATTTTCTCTTAGTTCACTGAAAAGAAATGTTTGTGGTAAAATTATTTGAACAACTAAATATGATATCTTATACCCTAAATAATTAATTTAAAGATAACAATATTGAATGTAGTAATCATTGTTATCCTCCTAATATCTTACTTTCAAGTTGTTTATTTTTCCTCTTTAAATAAAAAAAACCTGAAAAATGAATCAAGAACCAGCATTCAGACTTAAAATTGTAAAAAGTCTTAAAAGTACTGAGTCAATGTTTCTTGATGTGAATTTGGTGATAATTTCTTAGATACAAAAGACACAGGCAACAGTAATAAATAGACAAACTGAATTTTATGAAAATTAAAAACTTTTGAACATTAAAGATAGTATCAACAGAGTAAAAAGGCAACTCACAGGCACAATATGCAAATCATATATATGACAAGGAGTGAATATCCAAATATTTACAGAACACTAAAATACAACAAAACTAAAATCCAATTCAAAAATGGGCAGGGCAATATAACGAACAATTCTCCATAGATCTACAAATGGACAAAAAGCAAGTAAAAAGATGTTAACATCACTAATTATTAAAGGGAATCCAAGTGAAAATTATAAAATATCACCTCACATCCATTAAGATAGTTGCTAATCTAAAAAATCAGAAAATAGTAACTGTTGAAGATATGGAGAAACTCTAACACTTTGTGTAAAATGGTACAGTCATCATGAAAAAAAGAATAGTGGTTACTTGAAAAGATTAAAAATAGAGTTACCACATACATGGGCCAGCAACTCCACTTCTGCATATAGATCTCTGTGGTGGTTGATACACTGTGTCAACTTGAAAAGTTGGAAGCTTGACTGGATGGGCTCAGGTGACTCCACACCCTAGGGTGAGGAGGGCTTTCTCTAAGAGTGACTCAGCACAAAAAGGATATAAGAGAACTGAGGAAGGATTCTGCATGCCACTTCCTCAGTGGAACTTGATCTTTGCCAATCAGCTCTGGTCTTCAGTTGATATGGAAGGATGGGAGAGGCTGATAGATGCCTCAGCTGCTGCTCCTTCCTCTGCTCTTTGCTGTGTTCTGCTGCCATGAACTGCTGCCTTCTATCTTGTGCTACTCTGCCTTGGAGCCAGCTGAGTATGGACTAAAACCTCCACTAATTGTGAGCTACATAAACCTTTCATTCCTTATTTTGGGTGTTGGATATTTTGCCCTAGCAACGAATAAAAAGTAACTGAGACAATCTTTAAGAGATATGTGCTCAAGTAAGTTCACAGCAGCATTATTCACTACAGCTAAAATGTGAAAACTCAAATGTGCACCAAGGCTTGAAGGGATAAGAGAAATATGGAATATTGTTCAGCCATAAAGAGAACCCTACAGGTCATAAAAGAAACCCTGAGGACATTATAGCACTAAGCAAAATATTCTAGTCACAAAAAGATACAGAATTCTACTTTTATGAGGTACTCAGACTAGCCAAAATCATAGAAACAGAAAAGATAATGGCAGTTGCCAGGGTCTAAGGACAGAGAAGGACAGGCAGTTACTATTTATTGAGTAGTTTCTTTTTTTATGGTAAAAACAGATACGACATAGATGATGGTGAAGGCTGCCTAACAATATTAAATACTTAACGATACCAATGAACCATATAGTTTTAACTGGTTAAGATGGTCAGTTTAGTCTATGGCCATACCACCCTGAACATGCCCAATCTCATCTATCTCGAAAGCTAAGCAGGGTCTGGCCTGGTTAGTACTTGGATGGGAGAAGATGACCAGTTTACGTTACATGCATTTCACCACAAAAAGCAAACGAGAGAAAAAAAAGTACTTAATTTTAAAATTTGTTTTAAGATACTAATCCATAATTTTATAGTAATTCAAGTCATGTTTAAAATTCCTTAGCTTACCAATATATCCCTATTTCATATTTATTCCTATGTTAATTTTGACTCATTAACAAATTATTATAATTGGTTAAGTACTTTCTGTAGAGTTCAACAAAAATTATTGGAGATTGGCTAAATAGAGAAAAAAGAATAATAACTTTTAAGAAGAATTAAAAAATTTATAATAGATGTACATATCACATATATAGGTAGATATCACACATATATATTTGTGATATATGCATATATCACACATATATCATATATGATACATATGTAATATATGTATATTTCATATATTTTATATGTGCGTGTGTGTGTGTGTGTGTGTGTGTGTCATATACAGCCAGACATAGTGTAGTCACAGCTTCTTAGGAGGCTGAGACAGGAGGACCACTTAAATTAGAAGTTTAAGATGAGCCCAGGCAATGTAGTAAGATCTGATCTAACATACAAGCCTTAAAGAAAAATCCCATTATATGTGACCTAAGTTTGATAGGTAAACTTGAGATCTGAGATGAAGTACTTAACTAAAAAGCCTGCTAAATTATTGGTATCAGAGATGCAGAGTGGTAAGTGTGCCTCTGGACTTTTCTTCACCAAGTGTCCTCAATTCTTCAAAATCAGTCAATTATTAGAAATCTGATCTGACAAACAACATGCCAATATGTTGTATCAACTATAAAAAACTGGATTCAGAATTCCCCCAACATCGTAGAAGGAAGATGGAGATGCATTTTTACTCTGCCGAACTTACACATCAGCTTTAAATCGGCAGTAACCAGAACTTTGAAAAAATTAAAGTGATAAAAGGATACAGAAATAAGTATAACAATTATGATACAACTCTAGAAGTACCTAAAATAGTGCACAGAAAGTTCAATTAAATAAAATGACATGTACCAAATCAGGTATTATATTTGATAACTTTACATAAAAAATGCATGCTTAACAAAAACATATTTGGCATTAATAAGCTTACAAAAAGAACACAAAGTCATACTCAGAGATGGAGAAATTTGTGACTTGTTTCTAAACATGACTTAAATGAATCAAATGAAGATACTGGGTGTACTTACGCTGGTATTGTCAAAATGAATTGAAAGAAAGGCAAAGATAAAACTAAATTACAAATTATTGCAGTACGATTAAAGCGCCTACTTAGGCAGACACAGCGGCCAGGGTTCGATCCCCAGTGTGCCCTGCCACCTCCGCCCCCAGGACATGCTGAGAAGGTGATTGTGACTGGGCGTGGTGGCATGTGCCTGTAATCGCAGCTCTTGGGAGGCTGAACACAGGCAGATCACTACAAGTCCTATCTACATACTGAGACCCTGCAGATCCTTACTAAAATACAACAAAAAAAAGAAAAAAAATTAGTGCAACAGAAAACAATATATGAATTTTAAGTATATATTGTCTTTTCTTTTTTTAATTTTATGTATTTGGTACAGGGCTTCACTATGGAGCTTGGAATCATAGTGATCCTCCTGTTTCAGCCTCCCCCCTCCCTGGGATTACAGGCATGTGCCACCATATCCAGTCTTGGCAGCCAGCTGGGCGTGCTTGGAGCGGGGCCAGCATGGCATGTGGTACTGGGGATCAATCCCTGGTCCTTGTGCTTGCCTAGGCAGGTGCTTAGACCACTGAGCTATCTCCATGGCCCACTAATTGTCTTTAAGAAACAACATGGTTGTCGAGGATGTATCTCTGCAGCAGTGTCAGTCATGAGTTCGAATCTTAATACCAAAAAAGGGGAAACAACATAGTCAAGAATGTGCTCTGAGTTAATTTCAAAAGGGATCTACACAGTGAAAATCCCTGTCTTACCCTCCAGGGACTCTGTCTGGACGCCCACTGCTGACACAGCTGGCTCCATAGCCTGTGCAGTCGCCACACACAGTGCACACCATGCACTGCTCCAGCTTCCATTTGTGCATGCCCGGAGGGCACATCATGGACTTCTCTTCTTTTTCATCTAGCTCTTCTTCTAGGTCTTCATCCATTGCTGTTGCCATATTTTCAACTCCAAAACCTATTTGACATATCAGTTTGTAATTTTGATTATTCTATTGTCAAAAAAAAGGTATTTACCAGTTTAAAAAGTAACAACACAAGGATCACAAAAACGTAAAATATAAATAAAAAAAATTTTAATTTAGGGAATGTTAACAAATGTTCTATTTACTTTCTGAAAAGAGAGGAAAGAGTATGGTCAAGCACATCACTTCATTGTCTATCATACTTTTAGTCTCTTTTCCAGCCTCACTACCAGTACCTCACACTCAAAAGACCAAAGAAAATCTCCTGGGCCTATTGTATGTCAAGAGTCTCCACAATTTAAGACTCATTGTATTCAAATATACAGTATATGACTTCACAAGTTACAGACCTCCAATAAATTTCCACAAACAAAATTTCTATACAAGAAATGGGAATTCACCAATATGGTCCCGGTTTTTTAACCTTATTTTTTCCATACACATTATATTCCAACTGAACCTAAATTCCACCTGCTTCTCAAGACATCCTGTGTCCCTTCACATGCTTAGGATCTGTGCTCATTTTCACTCCTTCTACACAACTTTTCATCTGCAAGATGCTTTTTCTTGTCTCCTCTACTAGTAAAACTTTCTGTCTTTCAAAAACTTAGCTCAGAAGTCATTCCCTGTGAAAATACTTATTACCCTTTCCAAGGAATCAGTCACTACCCTCTCATAGTTTGTTCGTATCTCAACTGGAACTTTAAAACAATTGTGTTATAATTTATCTAATTATTATTTTATTCCTTTATGGGAAAAAAAATCAAACTTTTTTTTTTCTTTTTCTTTTTTTTGTAATGTATTTAGTACAGAATTTATAGGGTCTCCCTACAAAGATTGGACTCATAGTGATCTTCCTGTTTTCAGCCTTCCAAGCGCTGGTATTACAGGTGCGCTATCATGCCCAGTTTCAATTGCTCTCTCAGCACGCCTGGGGGCAGGGCTGGCATGGCAGGCTGGGGATCAAACCCTGGTCCCTGCATCTGCCTAAGCAGTACTTTAATCTGCTGAGCTATCTGGCTGGTCCTCAACAAACATTTGTGAAGGACTGGACTATAAATAATATGTCTATGGTCAGATTTTTTATAACCTTTTACAAGTATAAAGTCCATTATTAGCTTGTAATACTGTATAAAAAAATAGCCAGTGAGTAGATAAGACATCACATTAGTTTGTAGACCTATGTTTTAAGTACGGAAGACTATAACAATGAACTATTACAAAAAAAGTTTAAATCAAGTGAGAATGACACATCTGCATCAAATAACCATACATAAGTACAAAAATACAAATGTAATAGGGTTATGAAGGAACACAGTATTACTGTAAGAGAACAAATCTCAGGAAATCAAGTAATTATTTTGTTTTCCCTTCTAGATTTAGATCCTCAAAGGCAAGTCTATGTATTACTCATCTGATCTCTTATTCTCAATGAACTTTATCTTTTACACCTACAACATAAAACTAACATAGAATTACCACTCAATATAGGTATGGCTAATCAGTCAGTAATGCATAGCATTATATGTAGCCTCTTTTGACCTTGCGGTTTCAAACCAATTAGCAAGCTGGGAAATGAGAAAAATAAGATCAGACAACTTTGTCTAGAGTTAGAATAAACAATCCTGAAGGAAGCCAAAGTGACTTTTTATGTAAAAACATCTAAAATGTTTTGAGCACTTGCTTGCATATGGTCTACATGCATTTCTCACTTAATCATCTTAACAGTACTATAACTGCTATCCTCATATTAATTTACACATCCTATGTACTGTCAAGTCACAAAGACAAATACTAATTCTAATTCATATATAAAAGCCCCAACCTGGCCACATAAAGAAAAATACTAAAAGGGCCATCAAGATAGCTCAGCAGACTAAGAACTATGCTTAAGCAAGTAAGCAAAGAAGCTCAGGGACTGGAGTTTGATCCACAGCACTGAATGCTGTGCTGGCCTTGCTCCCAGGTGTGCTGAGCAGGCTACTGAGACCGGGTGTGGTTCCATACGCCTGTAATCCCAGCCCTGTGGAGGATGAAAACAGGAGCCTCACTACGAGTCTGAGCTGTGTAGTGAGACTCTGTACCAAATACATAAATTAAAAATAAATAAATAAATAAATAGAAAAATACTAAAAATAATTTAATAATTTATCCCAGAACGCTGGATGTGCCAAGTGAGCCACGGAAACAGGGCATGGTGGCACACACATGTAATCCCAGTGCTGGGGAGGCTGAGACAAGAGGATCACTATGAGTCCAAGCTGCATAGCAAGACCCTGTACCAAATAAATAAATAAATAAAATTTTAATATCTATGTATAATAAAATATAGTCAAAATATATATACATATGGTAAAGTACAAAAATGTATGGTGTAGAACATTCTCTTTGTCCTAGCAACACTACCCAAAACTGTGTTTCACCAGTTTAACAAGATAAAATATTTTCATTAAAAAATAATACATTTTCTTTGCTTTGCTTTCTTCTTTTTAAAAGTCAATATAGTCTAACAGATAGCCCTTATAAAAATGATGTACTCTAAATACACATACATACACACAAACTCATTCACAAATATACAACCAGAAGTTAAAAAATGGGATATCTGAGATCCAGATATTGGTCAAACAGAAAATAAACTGTAAACAAGAAAATAAAACAAAGAAAATAAACTTTAGTACATATGTGGTAATATTTTAGTAAACAGCAGTATACTAATCAAATATGACTTTGTTAATTTATATAGTTTATTCCATAAAATATTGTTATGTGAAGCACAGCTTGATGCTAAGTTCTAGTAATATGTATTGGTTTTTTTTTTTTCCAGCTCATACAAATTTAAAAACAGAGAGCTAGACATTGAAGTGAAAGATACAGGATGATAACAAATAGAAAAAACTGAAAGTGAGAATGAAGTAGACCCATTATTTCCAAAAGAAACAAACAAAATAAACCCATAGCAACAAGGCAATCAAAGGATAAACCCAATTTTTTCAATAACCTGAGGATAGGACAACATACTGTGAAGAACGTCAGTCTATAATCTTTTCTTGACAACAGGTCAGATATTCATAAGAATCATTCTTAGATGTAAAAACAGATTAAAGTACAAGAGTACATGATATAAATGAGGAGGATAATATTTGCCAGATAAACTTTTGACAAAATAGCTGAAAGTGAAGACATGGTACAAAAGGATCTACCAGTACTAAAGAGTTTTGAAAATTAACTTCTCTGAAATAACTCAGTCATCAAAAAATTCTAAATCAAAGAGGCACCATTATTCTATGTAGACTTTTACGAACTATAAATGCAAGCTACCTCAGAAACTAAAAACGTTAACTATATTTGATTTTTCCGGGAATATATAGGAAATCCAATCATTTTCTTAATTCATAAATAAAAATATCAAAGAGCCATTCATTTAGAAAAGACTAAATTCTTTACTATGTCCTGAGAACCAATATAAAGACCACACAATTTGTAATATCCAAAAATTATACGCTTACCTTTCCCTCCTTGGTTCATGGCACCAGTGTCTCGTCCACACTGCCCTTTATTATTTACACCAAATGTCCAAACTTCTCCATTCTTCATTAAAACACAAGTGTGAGCCTTTCCCATAGCTACCTGAGTTACAAAATGCCCCTTCAAATCAGTTACCAAACCTACAGGAAAGACACAAATTTGGTAAAAACAACAACAAAGTCCCATGTGAGCCTAGTAAAAGAGCTACTTCAGTGAAGACCTTTTAATTTCTGGGATAAAAGAACTCACCAAAATAGTATGAAGTAGGTAGACAAGAGTGGCAGGATAACAAAAAATTATATTTTTAAATTCTGTAATACAGTTTTAATAAATCTTAACATGTTACTCAGATGGGATAAATCTTTACTGTAACATTATTTCAAGCTTACTTCTGAATGCTTACTCAAAAGTATATCACCTCTCAACTGTATTCAGAAGGCCAGTAGGCCTCAAATTTTTGGCACAGAAATAAAGAAGCCCATATATTATTACTTTACCTGCTTTAATCCTACTCCACAAAACTAAAGTAAGACTATTCCCATAGTAGCCTGCAATGATGTTTTTGTAGAAACATGTAAGACTTTCCAAAGCACTACAGCATTTTTCAGTCTACAATGCCTTCCTGTATGATCTACTACACAGCTATTTTTTAAACTTCCCTTATTCACATATAACTTTCACAATACTTGTCACACCCAATTCTGCCCATATTTAATATTTTTGTATCAACTTTAAATTTGCAGGATTTTTAATCTTATCAATTAGTAACAGTAAAAAAATGAAAGATTACTATTTTTCTAATAATCATTAGAACAAAACCTTTTTTAAAAATTAAAGTTTTTGTTTCAAATTTCAAATAATATCAATCTTCCAACTACACAGGGAAAACTAATTTACATTATTAGCACCAATACCACTTCCTTATAGGCACTGCCTTTCTCTTAGGCTCATGTGGGCCTTTCTATTAAATGTACCTTAAAAATTTTTCAGTTCACTTGAAAAATGACATATTTAACAGAAATAATTCTTATTAACAGTACTAGCTGACATTCTTGAGGCTTTACTTATTCAAGACTCCATGCCAAGCATTTCTGAAGCATTACCTCTGGTAATCTTTATACAACAATTACATAAAGCAGGTACCATGTCTAGCTCCCTTTAAAGGGAATAAAAAAGAAAGCTCTAAAACAAGTATGTCTTGTGAGTGGCACAGGGCACAAAATAACTACTCATGTGGTCTTGTTAGATTGTAAACTTTTAAATTATGTGATTTTTTTTTCAACTTGATTTCACAGTGCTCAAGCACAGAAATGCTTAGGAGACAAAGGACCGCTCTCTATGGAGAGCACACAAGGCAGTGCTAACTCTCTCCTGAGACCACCAAACAAAGCTCAACAGAAAACCATATACATGTGTATCAGACGTTACATGTGCTTCTGCAACTTGAGTGAAATGTTGTGATTACTAATAACAGTTCACTTATTTCCGTATGTCTAGGTTTAAGTTTGGGTTTATTGTATTAGTTCATTTTATTTACTTGTTTCTTTCGTGAAACCAGGGATTGAACTCAGGCCCTCATGCTTGCCAGGGTAGTGCTTATGCTACTGAGCCATCTCCCTGGCCATATAAGTATCTTTTTTCTTTCTTTTTCTTTTCTTTTCTTTCTTTTTTTTTTTTTTTTTTTTGTGGAACTGGGGATTGAACTCAGGTCCTTACACTTGCCAGGCAAGTATTTCATTTTAATGTTGTAATAAAAATAACAAAAGCATTAACCATATTATATATTTTACATACAGCTCAAGACAGTTCCTCTTTACTCAGCGCAGCCCAGGCAAGCCAAAAGGCTGGGCACTGATGCTCTAAAAGATTAAGTAAGCTGTTAGTCAACAAAAAAACATTGATGCTAGCATCTGGATCTGTTTATAACCACTATACCATACCTCTTACCTATTAAAATTCTTCCATATCCAACAGTCTCCCAAATACCCAAGAAGACAGGGAAAACTACACTTAGTTGGCTCCTCCTTACACACTATGCCTTATACCATGTCAACAGTGAAGAAATATATTTTGAATAAATGCATAAATTTCAATCCTACCCAAGAGAATTTTAGCAAGCAATATTTATACTGAGCATTATTTTAAAACTACACATGCATTACCCAAAAGCTTGATTCATTTTGATATTTTAGCTAACTGAGAATTTAAATATTGCCACATAAGGTTAGCATACATTATCACCTGGGTATAACTTAACTTAATAATTGGTATAACAATGTGTGTCATTTGTCCTGCATGAGACAATCACTTAATCTTGCAATCAAACTTCATTGTTTTCCTTTTCATAACAAAACTCAAAGGCTTTTTAAATTTATCTCACAAAATCTTCCCATATGGGATGATTTATTATACTCATCTCTGATAACCGGAAAGAAAATCTAGAAACCAAATAGGAGTTTTTGAGATTACAGTTTATTTAGTTCTATATCTCATATTCAATTCTGAAATTTTTGGTTTTCAGTCACCCTTGCGCTTGCTAAGGGAGCGCTTATTCTACTGAGCCATCTCCCCAGCCCTTGGTTTTTCAGTCAACCAATCATTTGAACAGCAATTCTTGAAAAGCTATCAGGTATTAGACCTATACTAGGCATACGGGATTTAATACAATAGTAGGAAAGAGATAATCCCACTCTAATAACCTAATGGCAGAAACAAATAATTCAACAATTATAAATCAGCTTTATTATAAAAACTATTTCCCAAAAGAGATCATCACTACTACTCTAGGGGCAGGCCACATGAGCACCTGAGTGAGGGAAAGCTTTCCAGAGAAGGCCACCATGTTCCATTTCTAGTCGTACATGAAACTAGGAACACAGCTGCCTATGACAAGATATGAAGAAAACTTTGTTCCTGAATGTTTAAAATGAAAATGCAAAGAAAGCACACTACAAATGTGAGTGTCCAAGCATGTCTTTGTAATACCTAATGATTAGCATTAGACTGTTTCTGCAAAGAAATGATTTTTTTTTAACTTACTTGAACTATCAGAGTAAATGGCATCTTTTCCAAACATATATAGTTCTCCATCTTTAGATATAACGGAACTACTTCCATTATTGCAGGCTGTATACACCACAATCTTTCCTTCCATTTTAATTATCTTTTTTGGCTTATATGGTTTTGACTGCCGTCTGCTCTTTGCTTAAAAAAAAATTAAGAGTACATTAAAGGCACGTATACATAATTAACAGTAATAACAGCTTATATATAAAGTCCAAAGGGGGGGAAGGGCACACTATTTGTACTTATGACCCATTTTAATCATTTATTTTTCACAAAGTCCTTGGATTTTCAACATATCAGTAAAAATGACTCAACTTGCCAGTCTCTCCTGGTCAATTAATATTTAAACTATCATTGTCAATTTTTACTGTCACATTTTCTTTCTTAGTAGCAAAAAAAAAAAAAAAAATTCTGATGAATAAATAGTAAAGTTCCACTAAATTTCTCAGGCACCAACTCTGGGCCTGAGACTGTGTCTCAGTCTGTCTATCTGTCTGTCCCTCTCTCTCTCTCTGAAACCTTCCTATGTCTTCCTATATCCTGTATGGCATATAATTATAATAGAGAGACAGACAGACAGACATATTCCCCTTTTCTCTTAGGTAATGATTCATACTTGTTTTTATACTAAATCCTGAAAAGTAAATTAAGTTTCTAATTCATTCCACATATATTTATTAAACAACTCTACCATGTAAATAAGATATTATAAAGAAAGGAGATGTACATATATGAGAAGAATTATTAAACTTGATAGCAGCTTCTGCTCTCTAAAACCAGATTCCTGAAATAAGTAAAGCATGGAAAAATCAAACAACTATTCCTTTACTTAAGCATTTCCTGTACACCTTTCAGAATCTAACTATATTGTTGTGCGGGAGCTACTCTGACATGACACAATCTACACACATAAAAACAATATTCTCCAAATACTAGAAGGAAAAATGGGCTGTGCAGAAGCTTTTGAGAAATGGTAATACACTTCATGGCTACTTTAAGAAATATTTATATTATCTTCTAACTTCAAAACCTTATTCTTAGAGATGTTACTCCAATGTGCTAGTATGTAAGAAGAAAGAGAAATGATATTTTGAGAAAGACTCTGAGCAGAACAAAAAATATAAGAGAAAAATAGAGCTGTTCTTTTTTTTATTGTTAAGCAAAGATTTTTGTCGTAGAGAAACAACACTCAAAACAGTAATCTGTGGCCAAACTATTACATAAGGTTATGTAAGGTTTAATATGTATTACTTTCAAAGTTTTGAACTTCCTAAATTAAATTCTGAAATAATATGTTTTTACAATAAGATCAAATGATGTAACAAAAAGAAACATACATTTTCAGATAAATAGCCATGTACACAAAGCACAACACTTCATAAATATGAGCTCTAGATAAAATGAGCAAACACATCTTTTTGATATACAGTATGCCATTTAATGAATATGCCACAATTTGAAATTCTATTAAATGTTGGTGACATTAGTGTTACTGAGGCTGACAGATTTTATCTTAAAATAATCTACATTATTTTTACTAAGTACCCAGTTAATTAAACAACTTACTTGACTCTCCATCTTCTCCTTTACTAGCAGATCCTGTAAAGAATATGCTTCCATCTTCTGCAACTAAAAGGGCATGCGAACCATCATGTCCAACTGAGAAGTGAACTATTTTTGGCGATTTTGTAATTGGTAGCTCAACCCACTTTCCTGCTGAAGGACCGCCTTGTTTGATTCCAAGACTCTGATATTTTCCAGTGTAATATATCTTATACATTAAAAAGAAAAAAGGAATTACAGTGGCTTTGGAATAGTAAACTATGCTTCACATGAGTTAACAAACTTTTCAAAATTTTATTGAAAAACAAAAATAATAAGAACCTAAGCTCTGAAGAAGCTTCTGCTTCAATACATTGATCTCTGCAATGTCTGACTTATTACACAGGCTACTACTCTCCCCAGGATACTGCTATGTGTTAATTCAGTGAACTTCTGCATGTTCAGTCAATGTACTTCTGTGTATTTATAGAAATTTGAAATGAATATTTTATCAAAATAAGCACAATATATAAATTTGGTATAAATGAAAAAAGTACACACAAAAACCCAACTAAATGCTTACAAAAACACGTTCTATTTTCTTTTCTTTCTTTCTTTTTTCTTTTTTTTGCGGAACTGTGGATTGAACTCAGGCTCTTGCACTTGCTAGGCAAGCACTTATTCTACTAAGCTATCTTCCCAGCCCCACATTTTATTTTAAATTTTTTAATTTTTATTTTTTAAAGAGAATAAAAATAGTAATAAAAAATGAGAAATTATACAGAATTTCACTTATGAAATTAATACAAATTTGACAGTATTTGCTATATCATATAGTGATGTCCTCAACTTAGTTGTTTAGATTACCAGACATATGCATACAAAATTAGAGAAAAAAAGTTGTAAGCATTTAAGAGAAAAAAATGAGAAAAAAAAAAAGCATTAATTGCTCCTTTCCATAGACTAGCAGAAACCCACAGTGCAATTATCCAAGCCATCCTGCATACATACATAGATATATCTTTTTCTCCACTCCCTCCCTCCTCTATCCATCTCTTCATCTCAGTAATTCCTTTCTTTGGAGCACATTCATTCCCTTTTCACAGTATCTATTGTACCTTTCAGATTTTATTTACTCTTTCATGTTCTTAAACTAGTGAGACAATATGATGTTTGCACATGTGAGTCTGATGTTTTCACTTAAGAGTATGATCTCTACTTGTATCCATTAAACAATAAAAGCCACAAATTTATCATTTTTTATAGCTGAATAATACTCCAATGTGTAAAAATATCTCATCTTCTTTATTCATTCCTCAGTTGATGGGCATTTGGCTTGTGTCCAGGATTTAGCTATGACAAATTGTGCTGCTACAAACATAGGTGCACATATATCACTGTGGTGTGATGTTTTTATTTCATTTTGAAAAATATCAAGGGGAATATCTGGGTTGAATGGGACCTCCAATCCTAGTTTTTTGAGAACCCTCTACACTAATTTTCATAGTGGTTGTATCATTGTACACTCCTACCAACAGTGAAGTGTTCTTTTTCCCCCACAGCCCCTTCAACATTAAAAACACAACATTTACAAAGTTTATTGAGTTTTATGTTAAATACAATTGTTTCATAATACTTTTTTTTTTTTTTTTTTTTTGGTGGAACCGGGCATTGAACTCAGGCCCTTGTGCTTGCCAGGGAAGCACTTATTCTACTGAGCCACCTCCCTGGTCCCAAAATGAAGGCTTTTTTTTTTTTTTTTTTTCAGTACCAGGAATTGAATCATAATACCATTTTTAATATTCGATTTTACAACACAATGCTTAAATATATAAACTATATAAACTAATCAATGAATTACACAAATTCTCTCATAAAGCAGAGAAAGTTAATATGAGTCATTTACCTTTCCATTTGCTGTTTTCATTAGTGCAAATTCTCGTCCTGCACCAAGAATTGCTGACTCCTCATCAAATCCTGTACCTTTAACACAAGGCAATAAAGATACTGAATTTCTAGTATGAATAACTCCAAGTAATTGTATTCTTTTGAGTAATTTAAACAAATTCAATGAACAGCACTCAAAAACAAAAATGACAAAATGTTTTGTATGCCTGAGTTAAAAGAAAAAAAGAATAGGTACATTATTTAAAAAAAACACACAAAAAAATTAAAAAGTTCTGTACCAGTAATATTTCTTGAATTAGGACAAAAATGGAAAACTTTTTACTGAATACCAATTAAGTATGAGGCACTGCAGAGTTTATCTCATTTGATTTTCACAATTATATTGCCCAGATAATAGAAGACTAAAAATAAATCTTGGGAAGGTTTGTCTTGCTATAGTCATTTGGTGATGTAAAATAAATATTCCAATTAAAGCATTTCAGATTCCCTGTCACATGTTTATTTCTACAGAAGAACAGTTTATATAGTTTCTCCACAAATTTGAATATTTACATGTATATACATACACACAAATCCATATACACATTTTTCAAATTGCAAAACTATGACTAATTATGAGTACATATACAGTAGGTTTTATTACTTTGTCCTGTCATACAAACTACTAAATAGAGTAGAGGCTTTCTTTTTCTAAATATATTTGGTACAGGGTCTCATGACACAGTTTAGACTCATAGTGATCCACCTGTTTTCAGCCTCCCTGGCGCTGAGATTACAGTAGTGCACCACCACACTGAGTCATGGTGGCTGGCTTAGCACATCTGGGGAAGGAGAAAGTGTGACATGTGGTGTCGGGGATCAAACCCCGGTCCCTGTGCTCACCAAAGCAGGTGCTTAGTCCATTGAGCTATGTCACTGGCCCTAGATTAGAGGCTTTTTAAATTAAAAAATCTATAGTCTCAATTCAATATATTTTCCTATAGAAGAATATTTAAAAACTATATAATTAAGATTATACAAAGTAAAGCACTTAAAAGTGACATGGAAAATAAAAACAGACCCTTGTAGGAACTAGTCATCCTAATTTCTTCCACAATACAGTGAGACTAAGTATCTTAAATCCAAAAAATACTCTGTGATTTTCTGTATTTCTATACTCAGATATAAGACTATTGATCAGTTTGTTGAATTGGTTAACTATTTTTATAATCCATAATAAGGTCATTCTACAGATAGCTTTAAAATCTGTTCAAATAAAAGTTAAAGGTTCGGCTGAAAAACAAATGGATCTGGAAGTCATGATGTTAAGTGAAATAAGCCAAACTCAGAAAGAATAATTATTTCATATTCTCATTAATATGTGAAATCTAAAAAGATGACAAAAAAGTAGAAGAGAACTATGATTAGATGAGTCAGGAAAGAAGAAGAAGGATAGAAGAAGGAGAGACAGGTAATAGGGGGCATAAGTATGATGAAAACGCATTATATACACTGAAACTCACCAAAGAACATGTGAAACCAGGAAAAAGTGAGAAAAGAAAGGTGACTGGAGGAGAGTTGAAAATTGAATATGCTATGTTCACAAACACACAAAAAAAGACAGTAAATGGTTTCAATCAATACCAGCTCAACACATGCCAAAGAGTACAACTGACCTAGGTCTTTCACCATGCACTAAAAGAAAATAAAAATGGATCAAAGATCTAAATATTACAACAGAAACACTAAATATATTCGAGGAGAGAATACATAGAAACCTTAAAGATGTAGATATAGGTAAGGATTTCTTGAACAAAATGTTATACAACATCAATACTAGAATATCCTATTAAAAAGCTTTTGTGCGGCAAATGTAATCACCAACAGAATGAAAAGTCAACCCACAGTGGGAAAAATTTTTAGCCAGTTGTCCCTCCCCTCAAACAAAGGATTAACAAATATCTAGAACGTATAGAGTTCAACAAAATTAGAACTCTGAAATTCAAATACCCAATCAAAAAGAGGGCACCTGAGCCAGCAAGATAGCTCAGCAGACTAAGCACCTGCTTGGCAAGCCCAGGGACCAAGATCAATTCCCCGTCTTGCATGCCACACTGGCACTGCCTGGGGGCATGTGCTGAGCCAGCAACAGAGTCCAGGTGTGGTGGCGCACGCCTATAATCCCAGTGCTGGGGAGACTGAAAACAGTAGGATTACCACAAGTGCCATCTGTGTCGTTAGACCCTGTACAAAATACACAAATGAAAAAATACAAAAAGAGGGCATCTGAAGTGAACATTTCTTCTACTTCTCAGATGAAGAAGTAGAAATAGCAAATATATGAAAAATGTTAAATATCATTGATTATTCCAGATATGCAAATTAAAACAATATTGAAATTTCATTTCACCCTCAAAAGAACGGCTATCATCAAGAATACAAACAATAATAAATGCTGTTTGGGCTCAGGAGGGAAGGAATGCTTTTCCACTGCTGATGGAAGTGTGGACTGGTGCAACCACTGTGGAAAACAGTGTAGAGATTCCTCAAAAAAAAAAAAAAAAAAGAAAAGAAAAGAAAAGAAAATATATGCCTAGAGGTACCATTTGATCCAGTTATTCCCCTTCTTGATATCTTTCCAGAGCAATGAAAAGTATCATATCACAGCAATATATGCACACTCACATTTCTAGCAGCACAGTTTGTCACAGCTAAATCTTGGAAACAACCCAAATGCCCATCACCAATAAAGGGATAAAGAAGATGCAGTCTTTTAAACATTAGAGTTCAGCCATAAAGAAGGACAAACTTGAGTCATTTCTAGGTAAATGGACACACTTTGAGACCATAATTCTTTAAGTGAAATAAAGCAGACACACATGTATAAATATCACATTCTTCCTCTGGTGTGAGAAACTAAAAGTGTAAATAAGGATCAAAATGTATAATAGATATTGTGAAATAGGAAGAAATTGTACAAAAGAAAGGAGAACCAGGGTGGAGATGAGGAAAGGAAAGAAAGGAAGAGAAAATATTACAAAAAAGGATAAAATAGAAACAAAGCTTTGTAATTAAGAGGGGGGTAATGGGGGAAAAGAGGTACTAATATAAATCATGTACAGGTACAAACTCCCCTTGATGGATGTGATTGTTATTTAAAAATAAATAAATAAAAATAAACACAAGCTGAACTGCAGACTTATTTTGCCATCTTACTTATTATATGCAAGTCCTTTTCCAGATCAAATAGTGAGATGCCACAGGCATGTAAGCATTTTCGTGCCAGTTTAAGTTGCAATTCTTGTTGCAGGACAGGTTCAGTACTTGTGGCAAATATTCTGACAACAAAACCATCCTAAAAGAAATAAAATATTCATAGTATTATGTTGTATAAGTCAGTTCTTTGAGGCTTTTTATCTAATAAAAATCAAATAAATTTGTGCCAGATACTCATGCTTCACAATTACTTACATCTCTTGAAGCAGCTATCTGATTAATATACTCTCCATCCGTGAATAAAATATTTTGACCTTCAGTGTGGCAATCTGTGCAAAAGGAAGAAAAAGTAATAATATTACAATAGAAAAGAACAACTCACATAATGATTTACTCCTCTGTTGGAAGTCAGAATGAGAATTCTCCACGCAATAAGGACAGACTTAAACTCAAAAGGACTGTTTTTAACAAAAAATTAGAAATTAGAAGAAACTAAATAATTCAACTAATAATACTTATCACATTTTGTGCCTATAAATCTTCCATAATCAAGGACCTGGAAGCCCACCTAATTTCAAAATGAATTAGTATTAAGTACAGTCTAAAGTAAACATGCACCACCATGAACAAACCGTAATATTGGTTACAACCATTTCAATGCAATCACATGCGATATAAGCAATACTTTATCCTCAGACATATATCATTAGTGTCACAGAGAAATACAGATAAGCCTAGAGCCTCTGTATTTTATGGTGTCCAGCTACAGATATCCCTTGCTTTATAAAATAGGTAAAATTCAAAACTAGCTATAATTTCCCATATAGAACTTCTAGCGTATTTATGTTTTAGAAATTTTTCAACATTCATCCTTCATAGGACAAACCCATGCTTATTTCTGTCTCAAAGAGGAAAAGATACTACATAAATTGCCATAAATTTTTCAATATTGCATTTATCTCTATAAAATTAGTGTACTACATATTTTTAATAAAAATAATGCTCAAGCTCAATTATAACAAGGGATACCAGTATTACAGAAGGACCACTGGAACATGTGTTAGTGATTACTGCTGAGTAACACAAATCTACAAGCAAAATCAACATCAAAGTATAAATTTATCCTTTTAGAAAAATAAATCTTCAGCAAGCAAGTTTAAGAGCACACACATTGCCCAAAACAACTGCAGAGAACTAGGATGAATCTCTCCATTAATCACAATATCAAAAGAATTTTTTTTCATTTCTAATTGCACCTAAATCAAAACACCATAAAATTCTGTTTTTTTTTTTTGTAATGCAGTAATGGAGCCCACCCAAATAAGCTGGATTACTCTATATCTTTGCCCAGGAGCTTCATACTAGCATACTTCCTTATTATAAATATGCAAAACACAGGCAGACCCTTACCAAATAGAGAATTCAGTGATCACAAACTGGAAATAGAAACTGGGAGACAAGGCCCACTTGTAGCCCAAGAGACTTGGTAATCAAAGAGAGGAGAAATCGAAAGAAAGAGTTCCTAGTCCACTGTACAGAATACAAAGAGGCGCAAGAAAGATGCTTCTCAAGCTCTAAGCAGTAAGATTTTAAACTAAAAAGCAAAGAAGAAAAACTCATTATAATTTCAGACAAATGCAGAGGTGGAGGAGTGAAGCGGCGCAAGAGTAGTAGCAAAAACGCCTCATGGAATGAGGCAACCTGTCACCAGACATGGAGAGTAAATGACAGAGGATACATAAGGTCAGGCAAGATACAAAGAACGAAATGACAATAATCAGGGAAAGGTATGTTTTAAGGTCATCCATACTTGGTTAAAATAACTTTTTAAAAAGTAGTCTAGGAACATTAAGCTCAAGAAGTTACCTGATTTATATCAATTTTAAACATGGCATTCATTATCACCTATAAACCTAGGAATTCACTTCTGTTCTTGATGGGAAAGCTACAGCAGACTTGTCCTATGTAGGAAAAACTAAAGGTACTATTGAAGAAAATGTAGTCCCAGTCAAAGAAGTGACAAAATGATAAAAGTCTTCAGGCTTCCAGGCTGAGTCTTCCTGACGTGTCTTCATGATTTTCTCTTTATCTTTTCTTTATTCATCGTATAATATTATAAGACAGTATCTTCAGGAAGATATCAAGCAACATCTGTAAGCTCAGACAACACACAATATGGGCTATCCTCCCAAACTTTGGTTCAGTCTTCACCACGAATACAGCACATATTTATGGAACACAGAAAGCCACACTTACATTGTTAAAAGCTGTATTTCATAGGTTAAATGTTGCAGAGGGATTTAAACTGAACAGAACATTATCAAATGTTTTTAGCACACTTGAATAAATAAAACAGCTTTGGGTAATAATTTTCAAAGTGCTCTCTCAATCACAATCTTGCTAAGTGACCAAGGTAGAAATAAATCCTCTGTATTAGTAGCTATCTGTTTGGGGGTAGGGGTATGGAATCTCAATTTGGAATTTTTCTTCTATGACATTATCCTAAAATTACTTGCATAAGGAAAAAATAAAGTGTGAGTTATATAGCAAAAATGTGGAAGGCTCCAATACCAACAATATTAATCAATGAATGATGTCCTATAACATAAAAATGGTGTGACAAAATACATTTAATGGCCTGGAAATAGTCTCAAAATCTCAAGTAAAACTAGCAAGTTAAAAAAAGGAACATGTAGTATATGACCATTTTTTATAAGTGCATGCATATACCCATATGACTTTATATAGCAAATGTTATTTTTATTATGTTTATATGAATCTTATGCATATTTTATCAAAATTTTTTAAGATCTTAAGACAAAATAACTTATAAAAAATGGATAATGCTTAAAAAATTTCATAAAAATACCTGGAAATCATGCTATTTACAAAATTTCTGTTAAGGTTTGTGTTTTTCAAAGCTTTTCTAGGAAACAGATGTGAATTGTTTTATTTACTTTAATGTGATATCTGTATATTAATTTAGATAATTTTATAGACTGCAAAGTTCAGATAATGTTTGATGAAGTTGTAAAACTTCTTAAAACTAAGTGTGGGGGCAATTATCCTTCTTAATGCTTTTTTTTTAAAAGGTCTCACTTGTACATGGTCAAGTACTTAGAAGCAATCAACACTCTCTCCTTTCATGAATTTATTGACACATTAAACAATAAAATTTTAATCCATAAAACTTTAGAAAGTATGAAAGGTATACGCATATTCAAAATCTTGCAATGGACAGTATTTTACATTTACCATGTTTCACAAAATTTGAGACCAATGCCTCAGAATTTACACAGTATTGATTTGAGTGAAAAACTAAAAAATAAAGTGTGTCCAAAGAGCCTTATTAGAGCAGTATGAACAAGTGCGAATGATAAAAATTTTAAGAAATTCCTAGTGCCAACGAGATAGCTCAGTGGACTAAGCACCTGCTTTGGCAAGCACAAGAAACAAGGTTCAATCCCCAGTCCTGCATGCCCCACTAGTCCCACCCCTGGGGTGCACTGAGACAATGACAGAGTCCAGGCATGGTGGCGGTGCGCGCCTGAAATCCCAGTGCTCGGGAGGCTAAAAACAGGAGGATCACTACGAGGCCAAGCTGCATAGTGAGACCCTGTACCAAATATATACACGGAAAAAAAAAATAAACAAATTCTTAACTACTTTAACCTTTCTGTCAGAGAAGCTCTTTAAAATAAAGAAGGAAATTCAAGTGTACTGTTGTTAAAAGAAAATTAACCAGAAGATTTTTTGTATTAAGCCAGATGAGATTTTAAAGTTGTCATTTTATTAAGAGCCATAAAACCATACTAGTTCAGCAGCTGAAAAAGTCTTCATGGGATAAAGGTAAGGGATTAAGCCACGTACATGGAAAAAATCTGAAAATACTAGATATCATACATATGTCTGATATCTAATGTTCTGGTAAATTAACTTGATAAATACTATAAAAGGTTTATGTCAAAATTTTTAAACACATTTGTAAGCAAGTACTATTCCTAGAGAATCATTTTTTATGTGTCTAAATAGTCTAGCATACTCAATCCTATAAGTCACTTACAAAGAAAAAAACATAGTTGAAGCTAGTTCAAACATACCTGGTAAAATTACAGTACCATCTTGCTCCAGTGTTTCAGGGCTTATTCTTATGGCTGTCATGCTGTGGTTATTCACATCTCTATATAATAAATAACCCTGTTAACAAAAATTTTCCTGTGTTAAAATATTTTTTCATTACCAAATTCAGCAGAAAAGGCAACCACTTTGCTCCATATTAGTTTTTGAGGCAGACTAATCAGTAATATTGCCTAAATGATATCAAAGTTTAAAAATACAAGAGGAAAAACTGTTCACTTCTGAGAATCATCTAAACATAATATATTCTAAGGAGGATATGTAAGGACCATCTAACAGGTACACAACAGTACAAACATTTTTTTCAAAATGTCTACTATATTACTTCCCAAGTGGATAATACAAATAATCATTATTTCTTTGATAACTATTTTAAGGAAAAATATCTGAAATACATAGGCTGTTTCAAAATGAACATATTAGTGGTTTTATGGGCAATGATAAGCCACTGAAGAAACTATTTGTAATAATATAATTTCCATGGCATATTTCTTAGACAAATAGCACGCTCACAAATAAAATTTTCATGAGACATCTTAAACCAAGCTAAGTTTTAAAAGATAACTGGAGTAATTAATTTAATATTTAAAATTTAATTTCAAAGTATTCATAATAGCTAATACAGCAGATTATTCTTCATATAACAGTAAACTTTTTCAGTTTTCAAAAACATTTTCATGCATTATTTATCATTTTATACTGATAACAGATCCTATGAGCTCATTAAGGCAAGGTATTGAGGGAAATCTGTTATCCTTCCATAGGAGAGCTCAGGTGATATCTCTACAGAAACAGGAGGGAAGTAAATACTTCTGAGCCCTTCTGTCCATCTTTTATTTACTCTTCTACATGGGAAGAGGAGGAAATGTATCTGACTGCTGACCTAGTAAAAGGCTGACACCATATGTCTATGTTAGTCAGGGGTAAGATCACAGCATTAAGAAAGCAAAATGGATCGAGCAGCCTTCTTTCTTGGCTGATTCCCTGCATCATCACCATAGCTATCCATTGAGCAAGCCAAACATCTGAAAGTACTAGAGCTAGACTTAAAATGGAAGAGTTTGTTACACGCATCCCTAATTTGACATCAAGTCAAATATGTTTCCAATTCAGATTTGCTAATGATATAAGTGGTCTTTAAATTCCATTCTGAGGCTGAATTTTACAGTTAAGTGACAGAAGTTCAAGCAATTTAACAGAGTTACAAAAGTCATAGTCAGTGAGAAGCAAATCCCGATCTAAAATTCAACCTCTTATGAGTTCTGAGTCAATGTTTCCTGCACAACACTATGCCACTGCTATAGTTGTATTACTAAAACTACACTACTTCTGTTCAAATAGAACAAATATTATTTACTGATTTAACAAGCACATATTAAAAGACAGGGAAAGTGCAGTTCTTTGAGGACATTCTCCTACCTGAGCATAACCTAACCAAGACTTTTTTTCCTTTCTGTTTCTGATGCGGGATGTAGAATTATATATATGACCCTGTAAAACATCAAAAGTTAATCTAGCAACAGTTTCACAATTGTCAATGAAAAATAATATAAATTAATAATATTTAATGTTTATAGTTCAATTATAATTATTTTTAAAGAAAAATTACTACACCAAAATTAGACAGTGCATTTCACAATGAAGAAACAGAACATGAATTGAGTCTAGTTATAAATCTATGGTTAGGGACTGTAAGCAATCACATTACCCTGACTGTTCCACTGTATCCAGAGCCAATTTTGTATAATCCATCTTTGCATAACAGATAAAGAAAATATCCATCATTCTGGAGTAGACATTGATCATCTTCATCAACAGAGACTTCTTTTAATGGCCATTTGTGCATTAAAGCTGCTTTCTTAATCCCATTGCTAAACCAGTCCTGAATTTGAATTTTTCCCACTAAAACTGCCTGTACGCTCCTCTGGAGGGAATTTAGTATTGTTGGCACCTATCCAAAAGAGAAGAAAAAAATGAAAAGACATTTTTTTAATATTCCAAAGATGAAGCAGACCAAATAAAGATATATTTTACAATAATACATCAATTCTAAGAAATCAAATTGTCCAACTAAAAATCATTCATAAGAAGCAAATCTCAATTAAACATGCTTACTCTGAGGATTCAAAGTATATACCAATCCTATACATTTATACATTATTTCAAATTCTCTATCTTCACAAATCTATCACCCCTCATAGTACTTAGATTATATCTATCGTGGGTAACAGTCTTTCTCACCCTACAGTTGTGTTTTGTATTTTATCTTTCATATTTTCCCTCTGCATCTCTGTATTACATTCTGGATATTTTTCTTCTTTTATCTTTCAGTTCACTATTCCTATCTTCAACTAAATTACTAATAGTTAACCTGCCCTTAAATTTTATAATTATAATTACTTGATTTTTATCATTCTAAAAAGTTCATTTTTTTTCTTTTTCTAATCTTATTACTCTTCATATTCTCATTCTTTAGATATTTTCTCTTATTATTGTATTAAAATATATGTCAAACAGGGCCAGCCAGATAGCTCAGCAGACTAAAGTGCCTGCTTAGGCAAAGCACAGTGCCTGAGGTTCAATCCCTTGTGTGCTGTGCCGGCCCTACCCCTGGGCCCCACTGAGACAGTGATTGAGCCTGGGCGTGGCAGCACATCCCTGTAATCCCAGTACTTGGGAGGCTAAAAACAGGAGAATCACTATGAGTCTGATCTACATAGTGAGACCCTGTAGACCCTGTCCTAAATACATAAAAACAAATAAATAAATAAATAAATAAATTATATGACAAACAATTTAAGCATGTAAAATGTCAGGATTGATTTTGCTCTGTCTTTTTCTACTACCATTCAACAATGTTGCATGCCTTTTTTCCGTATGCTTTTTTATTAGTTTTTGAGCTCAAATGCAATAGTATTTTTATGTGGAGTCTTCGATGCCTGGAGTTTATCTGTCAAAAAAAGATTGTCTTTTTTAATAAATCACTTCATGTGCTACCATTCTCCCCAACTTTAAACTTTGTGCTAAGCTTTTTGGAGAAGATAGGCTTAGACCACAGAGCTGTCTCCCCAGCCCTACCGTGGCTGATTTTTAACTTAGTGTTTCAATCTCGGCTTGTATCCTCTGGGCGTCTACCCAGGAACTCAGTTCATGCGCTCCTGCTATGGCTTTTACTATCATTTCTAAGGCTACAAGAACTAAATAATGTGGAACCCTAATGAACTCATAAATATGAGGTCATTATACTATTAAAATCTGATGTATGATGTCTGAGTACTCATTATTTTATTACAATTTAAGGATTATTTCTATATTTTAAACACACATATATATACAATTAAACATCTGCAGAAACCTCAAAGCATGTCTACTGAGTATAGCTTGAAAATCACTGCATTGGAAGACTTTAAAAACAATTAAGGACCACAAAAAGGGATAAAAGAATTTCAAGCAGAGCAGAAAGAGAAAAAAGAGAAAGAGTTAAAAACTGGAGTGAGTGAGGGAATCATTTATGTTTGACAGAAGAGTTCAAAATTGAATAGGTTACAGAAAATTTCCAATATACTCCTTCTGTTGTTTTTGGGCTGCTAGCAGTAATTAAACAAACCCTTCCATCTGCTCTTTGGGCTATACAAGGAGCCAGAGAAGAGCAGATTATTGGGCCTTAAAACTGCAATTTCTTTTTGTCCTTTCTTTTCTTCTTTCCCTCACCCCAATTGTTCATTCCTTTGAAGCAGTTTCTTTCTCTTTTACTATATCTATTGTACCTTTCAGATTTTCTTTACTTTTTTTCAATGTCAAGCCCAGTCAAAAGAGTTAAATCAGTCGGGTGTGGTGGCACATTCCTATTATCCCAGCACCAGGCAGCTGAGGCAGGAGAAGCATGGGGAGTTTGAGGCCAGCCTCAGCTACATAGTGAATCCAAGACCAACATGAATTGAATAGTAAGACCCCCCTCTCAAAATAAACAAACAATAAATTAAATCAAGTTTATCTATAGAGAAAGTTATACCTCCTACAACTAACAATAACAGTGTATTCCACAGTCAGATATTATAAAGTTCAAATGTTAGCTGGATAACTAACATAACTCAAATCAACTTATGAAAACTCACAATCAACAAATCAAAAATAGAGCAGGTTGATGGCATATTCTTTCTTATCAATGAGAAAGATATTCAGATATGAAAGAATTGAAAATTCAGGACAAGATGGGTGATGCAGGAAAGGCATAGAGCAAGATAATGTAAAGAAAGAAGAGGCTATACTGTTAAAACAAGAATCAGGCTAAAGATTTAAGATTTTGCCAAAATCTGTTTCATTATCTTTATTGCTACAGAGTTACACTTATAGTTTAACTGATTATATTGTACAGCATTTGAATATCAACCATGCACAGATCAAATGACTATATAAGGAATGCGGAAAAGCTGGAAAATCCTATTAATCCCTTACTAGTTCAATTATTTACATGCAGGATAATCAAAATATATGCACAGTTTTGTTCATTTCTATAACAGGAAATATGAAAATGCCAATTTTATCAAATTTATTCAATATAAGAATTCACTGGTTGAAATTACAACTGCCCCAGCAATGCTTGGTATATTCAGTATGTGAACAAATGTGCTGTTCCAGTGACACTCACGGTAAACTATTGAGTGGTTAACAAAATTAGAAATAAAACTGTAGCTGGGAGCTAGGTATGGTGGCATGTACTTCTAATCCCAACATTCTGAGGCAAAGGCAGAAGAACTGTTGTAGGTTGGAGGCCACCGTAGGCTAAATAGTGAGTTGAAGGCCAGCCTGAACTACACAGTAAAATGCTATCTCAAAGAACAAAACAAAACTGAAGCTTGGGGCTGGGCATGGTGGTACACACCTATAATCCCAGCGCTCTGAGAGGCTAAGGCAGGCAGATCATAAGTTCAAACCCAGACTGGCCAACTTAGTGATCAGGAAGACCCTGTCTGAATATAAAAAATAAGAAAACTGCTCAGTGAGAAAACCCTGGATTCAATCCCTCTCTCAAAACACAAGAGGCCCTGTAGCTTGGTATCTCACATACTTCTAAGCATACTTAAATATGAAATACCTGAATAGTTTGGCAAGCATGGCTACCATTGTTGGTGAGGATAGCAGAGATGGCCTGAAGTGTCCTTCCTGTTTCTCCCCAAGAAGCCACTAGACTAAAGAGGCAGGCACAGGAAAGTGCTGTCAGGGACTGTCCTGTGCTGTCATTCATTCCAGTACTCCGAACAGTGATTTCCAAAAGGAGCTGGAAAAGAGACTCTGTGGATAAAACAGGATTCAATTATACTCATTTGATATATACAATACTGCATATATATGTTTGCTTCCTTGTCTCACTAGAAATGAAACTCAAGGCACCTAAAATACTTATGTTGTATTAGTTTCTTTCCCCCATAAGTTAAAATTTTCATATAACAAAGGCTTTAAAGAATATTTATTTCAACCTCTTGTTTTTGTAAATAAAGAAATGAGAGCTCAGGTCATATAAAATAATGTACTTGGAGGAATTCACATAGTCAAAAAACTAATCCTAGCAAATAATAAACAATTTTACTTTCAGATTATGAGTATATACTTCTTTTTTATTTTTATTTTTATTTTTTTTATTTTTATTTTTTTTATTTTTCAACAAATAATACACTGCATATATTCTTCTTAGTGGTTAATTGCTGTATAAGATGCGGACTTGTGATCCTATTTACAAACACCATTAGAACAAATTATTCTATTCATTAACAGAATGTAACTATATATCTATCCCAACCACTTTGAATACACAGATACAAAATGGACATTCATCTGTATACCCCATTTTTCTAAGTTCCGTTACTGAATATTATAGGTGTGCAAACTCAGCAAAATATTCTAAAAGAGTCCAGTAGCCCATAATAGCATTGGGTCTTCTGTTTCACTGGCAATGTCAGAAATTATTGACGTGAGTCCCCCACAGCTCAACTTAACAGCATGGCTTTATTTCTTATAATTTCGTCTTCATACTTTTCTGCTGGATGGTTAAGACCAAGGTAAAGCAGGACCTATGCAACAAGAGTTGTAGCTTTTTGGTCTGAGAAGGTCAGTGAAATGCCCTCAGGATTTGTCCTGAGATCCTGTACCTCAGATTGTAGAACCTTTATCAGTGCAGCCATGTGGATGAGTCACGGCCAATGGTTGGCCAATGTGCTCTCTGTGAAAGCCGGAGAGAGTATCTTCTCCCCATGTGACTCTCCTTAGGCCCACTCTATGTCATCGATCACTTTCCTCTTTGGCCCCATAATCTTCTTGATCAGAAAATTTGGGACACTACCGAGGTACATGAGTATATACTTCTTAAAATGTTCAATCTACAAAACTATGTGAACTTGCAAGATATCAAGAGAATACACAAAACATGCTATAATTTTTAATATAAAATTGGTTCATTTCATAATATGAGAACAGCTCACAATTACAGTGGAGGCATATAATACATTTATATCTCAAAAAAAATCTCTAAGTCAGTAAGACAGGTATCTTGTACCTTTAATGGATAATAAAATTGAGACACAGATAAGTTTTTTTCCCTAAATCATAAAGCCATTTTGTGGAATAGATGAAAAGAAAACAGGAATGTGTGAACAGCAGAAATCGTTACACAAAATTTACTAAACAACCCCACCCAAAACTGAATGCACAGATATGTGCATATACTCTTCAGCAGCTTTGCGCAGTGGCAGTATCGTAGCCAATGAGGTTTATCCGAGGGGAGATTATTGCTAATTGAAAACAGAAAAAGGACATTTAAAAATTTTAAAATAATCAGAGACAGTGAAAAAAGTCAGAGTAAGAAATAAAAGCTTAGACAAAGAGAATGTCTAAGTGGATGAGAGGACAAAAAGAGAAAGAATTAATTCACTGCAATTTTCTGAATATTGAAAGCCCATTTGTGGTTTATTTTACAACTCATAGAAAGCAAGGTATACCACACCATTCCTTCCCTTTCTGTATCTTCCCAAATTAAGTTCCACTTATCTTGCTTCCTAACTGATTCCTCCATTTTTCTCTAGCTCATCATATTACCAATGTTCTTTATCATCATCTCTTAATTGAATTATTAAAAAATATTTATAAATTGTATCTTTGTGCCATTTATTTTTGCTTATAGTCAGAGAACTAAAAATCTAGTTGCCTATTTAAAATCTACTCATTCCTTCATTAATTCCTTTTTCTCCTTTTCTCCCTCCCTTACCTGTCTTTTTTCCATCTATCCTCTCTGCCTTCCTTTCAGTTATCTTCCTTTTTCTCCAACCTTTAACCCATCCCTCCTATGTTTGTCCATCTTCTTTCTTCTGTTATTCTTCAGGTATTCCATCTTTTACTTATTTAGGAAATATTTACAAAATTCCCTCTGCACACTAGAAATTATTCTAGCTCATTGTGGTATACTGGCAAATAAGAAAAGAATGTCTCCATTTTCAATTATTCAATTACCACTACCAATCTTCTTCTAACTTTCTAACTTTATTTTTTCTTTTGAGTTCTTACACTAGGGAAACTACACGATATTTATACATCTGTTTGATTTCATTTAGGAGTATATCTTCAAGTGGCATCCACTTAACATGGCCTAAAAGGCCCCACTTGTCTTTACCTCCTTCCTCTCACTTTCTAGTCAGATGACTCGGAGTAAGTCATCTTCTTTTCTGTCTCTTAGCATTACTACATGCTGTCCCTTATATGCAGAACATTTATAACCTGGTTTACTCTTTACTATTCATTCTTCTTAAGTGTCACATTTTTAGGGCAGCCTGTTTAACAACTCTCAGAACTCCCTCTTCTTTCTTCCGTGCTATTTAACCACATTTGTAATTGTATATGTGTCCAATTTTCTAATGCTAAATTCCATAATAACATGATTCTGGTGTTTATTTGCTTGTTTGTTTTATAACTCACCTCCTTGCCCTTGCCAGGCAGGCATTGTGCCACTAAGCTATATTCCCAACAATTACAATAATTATATCATTCGCATTTAGTACAAAACATAGGAAGGCTTTTACACGTAAGTGAATATTTGAGAACATATATTCTAACCTTAAATTAGATAGACAGAAGGAAATACTTTTAAAAAATAGGTGATTTAAAAGTCAATCCATGTGCAAAGAGTTATGGTTTGTGTCTGGATGTCTCCTGGAAGCTTTATCCTGTCACGGGCACTGGGCTTTGGGGAGGTAGCTGAATCTAGTTTGTGACTGATTCACAGTTCAGTTTTGGGATTAAGGGTAGGTGATTGCTGGATCAGTCCACCGATTGATCCAGTAGATTGAACACAATATAAAGAACAACAGAAAGATGTCTGTTCCTGTGGTCTCACTGATTTTGCTATACTCTAACACTATGAACTGTTGTCCCTCTGCCGTGTGCCACTCTGCATTGGAAGCAGTTGGTTATAGACTGAAACTTCTGAGCTAAATAAGCTTCTTCTCCTTTAACCTTGGGCATCAGGTATTTTGTCTCAGCAATGAAAGAAAAGTAATTAAGACACCTGGTATAAACTGAATTATCAAGATATTCAACAGTAAGAGTATGACAAACATATTGTCATGAATAACATGAAAATAACCAAGTCGGAAAGAGAAACAATGGGCTCAATACTAGACAGAAGAAAAAAGCAAAGGTAAGTTTCAACAGAAGTTTAATATTAAAGTACTGAATTACTCCTTACTTCTTTAAACAAACAAAATCAAAATATTAAGTGATGATAAGTCCATATGCAGAAAAATACAAAGCAGTGAAAAGATTATAGATCAGCACTGAAAAGACAGGAAAGAAGCCAAAGAAAGTATATCAGCATTTGAAACTGCTCACAAGAAAATGAAAACAAATTAAAAAGATGAAAGTTATAACAGATAAAAGTTGATTAGGCAGAAGTATATATCAGAAGTTCAAAAGCTAATGTTAAGAGAAAAACATTTTAAAGGGAATAAAGGAATATTTGTGTAAACAATATACAAAAGTGAATGTACACAGAAGACAGAAGACCTCATAAGGCTGAGTAAAGGAGGACTGCAGTAAACCTGAGCCCCACACAGGCTACATGGTGAGTTCAAGGCCAGCCTGAAAGTGGTGGTGTAACAGCACCTGGGAGGCTGAAGCAGGAGGAACATTGTGAGTTTGAGATCAGTCTGGACTATAAAGTAAACTCAAGGCCAGCCTGAACAACATAGTAAGACCCTGTCTAAAAAACAAAAAGGCCATCCTGGACTATAGCCTGAGGCCCTGTCTTGAAACAAACATACACACAAACAAACAAACAAGAATAGTAGACCCAAGAGGAATGAAATTTTAGTATGGTACAGTCACAACAAATCAGAAATCTTATTTCTTGCTTCTGGGTAGTTCTGAACCATTGGTGGTACATGCATGACTGTTCTGTTGGGCAGCATGGGATACAGCATATAGGTTTTAATGGTTATTTTAAATATTTCAATTATTTGCTAACTGACAAATCAAAGATAAGAAAAATCAGCAGAATATTTTTAAACAAATCAAATCTTCAATAAAATGCTGTTAAACCAAGTAGTACATCATCATTTTAATATAATCACTATTGATACTGCAACAATAACCAAAAAGTGCCTGTTTCTTAATCTATGACAGTTTTTCCTCCATAAGAGCATTTAATAATTGTGTGTGGAGTGGGTGTTGTTGTTTCAAAAAGTTCTCACCTTGTTTTAACGTTCAGCAACCCCCTCCCCAACTAAAACAAAACAAAACCAAGCAGGAAAACTAACCACATATGATTGAAAAAGAAAGCTTTAACATGTAATTAGGTTCATGCAATTAGGTTCTCTACCTGCGTGTCTAATAAAGTATCAATAGCCACGTAAAGAAAATAGACTCAAGTGCTAGTCCACACCAACAATGTAGTTCTCAAACTAACAGAATCAAGACCACCCAGGAATTCACTCTAAAAGCAAATTCTTAAGACTTGCCCCAAATTTACTGAATGAGAAATTTCATAGGTAAGTCCCGATAACTCAGATACATGATAATGCTTGAGAACCACAGTTCTGATACTTCTGCGAATTTTCCTATCATCTCAGAAAGATATAGAAAATTCTAGACTGGAAGCCCATTACTGGTACTAGGGAAAAGCAACTAACCAATTAAAAGTCACGCTTCCACTTATATTTCTATTCTTTAATATTCTTTAAGTAAAAGTCCCCGCCTTGTTTATAGGATTATGCATTCAGTCTAGGTCCATGGCTTGACAGGCAAGCATCCAAAAAATTTAAATGCACTTCAAGGAAAGTCATTTCGTATTGAAAAAGACTAAGTCAAAAGCTATCTCCATACTATGAATAGATTTTTAATATGAGAAATATAAAACACATGCCCCCTCTCTCTTTAGAAACTAATTGTACTGTTCTGGGTTTACAACAATTTTTCTTTTCCTTAGTTTTCTAGAAAAATAAATTAGAATAAGTGAAAGATAGCCACTTTAGGCCAAAGGCTGAACAATTTAAGGCAATGATGACTTTAAGAAATCATTTATGGATTCCAATGATTTATATTTTGTTTTTTCTCAATCATCACAATAATCAAGGAATATCTGTACATGAATTATAACTACATTGAAACAGCAAAACACATGGAAATTTCTATCCCTGCTGTTTTAGTATCAAACAGAACGAACTCAATTTGTGAGATTACTCAGATGGACTCTATTACAGGCAGCTGTGTTTGCTTTATGAGAAAAATGATTCACTTTTAAAGATATCACTATAGCAACTAGCTCTTACCTAGGACATCGGGGGGCTCTGACTGGAGGCCTTCCGGCTGCTGACCCTGAAGCACATTCAGCAGGGCTTGGAGACTCCTCAGACACAGAGATGGATGTGAAAAACGTGTCTCCTTGATCAATTCGAACACTTCACAAAGTCCAACCTCAATAATCTATTTAAAATGTTTTAAAAAGTATGTTTTATAACCTGTAAGCCAGCAACATTTTCCAAAAAGTCTAGCTGATACAACTGACATACACATCAAACTTCACGACAATATTTAAAAGGCAAAGCAAAAAGGTACACATAAAAATTTTTTAAAGTGTATTTAATGTGAAGATTTTCAAAAGCCACAAGTTGCATGGTAGGCTCAAAACTAAACACACTATTTAAAAGGCAGTTTTAGGACAAAGAAGCCAAAATAACACAGAAGGAAAAGTTTAAAATAGTGAACTTCTGTAAATTATAGTCATTAAGAAGAAACAAATTGTATTAACTTACAAAGTTCATTTTGTTGCACTCAAGTAAAACTAAGCATGGTAATTGCTAATCACAATCACAGACACAACAGAACATATAGTAAAAATAAATAAGTAAATACAAAAATAACTTTAAAAGGAACCTTCATTCTAGCCCTTCTTAAAGTGATATAACCACATTATTATTTACACATGTCCCTTTTTCTTATAAAATGATAAAAATAAAAACTTCTCAATGAAAAAATCAACTGCACCTTTATTTTATACTATTCTTTGCTGAAACCAAGAATTTGACTACATTTAGCTAAAAAGATAAATCTATAATAAAAGACTAAGAAAAAAATTGAAATAAACTGGCATAAGAATATATCTTTAGAAGACTAATAAAAAAATAAAAAATGAATTTCCACTTCTCAGTCAGTGTGAGCATTTTAAAAACAATTTTTAAGACCTCTTATCAGGAGGTATTAAAATACATTGGTTGCACAATTAAGTTCAAAAAACATGAAAATAAGACTAAGGCTGAAGATGTATCTGAGTTGCTGAAATTTTTATGTTAATTCATACATTAAATAAATACTTCCTGAAGAACTGACTGTGTTCAACTCACTATAAAAAATAGGTAGATGTAACTACACCTTAGGGAAAATGAATGAGGATCCAGCCTAAAACTCTGTCATAGCATTTATTACATTATAGGGCAACTATTTTTGTTTCCACCATCCATCCATTTATGTGGAAAAAAAAAAAAAAAAACACAAAATCAAAAAAAAAACAAAAACAAAAAAACAGGAATTCAAAACTACTATATTTTCCAAACAAGGAAAATATAGGATGAAGTGAGTTGCAGAAAAATGAACTGCAATTCTGATTATCATCTGTAAAGTTCCTAAAGAATATAAATACAAGTGAGAAACCAAAACAAGTAGTAGGATTATTTTTAGCAAAGTCATCTAAAATCCAAACAGGCTTGACAACAGCTAAGATTTTACAAACTATATTGATAAAACTTTTCACTTGGCATATCAACTTCTTTTCCTGGAATAGACTAGAAAATTAAAACATGCTAAAATGTCCATCTGCTCATGTAACTTAAAGAAAATAGAAACCCAAAGTACAAAGTATGGACTTCTACTCTCAAGCCAATGAGAAACTAACACATTCTGTCATTATTTAAGACTATTTACTATTAACAATGACTTTTCTTAATGCTAAGAAGATTCTCCACAGATGACATTTTTGGCTAGGATTCATTTACATAAATGTTTCCTTTAGTAATAAAGAAATTACTGAACCTTGCCAGAAACGGTAAGACTGCTTCATGAACAGGTTATTGAGTTGCTGCTTCTGGTAATTTAAAGTTTAAAAACTAGGCAATTCAGGATGGCTACCAAGGCACATAGCGCTAGTAAGACCTAAGATTAAGCTTGGTTACAATGGTCAGGACAGAGAGTTCTCCATCTGTAAACTCTTGCAATTGGAGCTCTGTCCTTAGAACTCCTTACTTGTGTCTACGTCTTCAAAAGTTTGACTATTTTATCTTCCAATAAAGTTTCTTGTCTTTGGTTCATTTTGATTTTATGCAGGTACATGATGATAGACAATCTTCTGCATGTGTATAACCAGTTCTCCCAATACCATTTGTTAAAGAGACTATCCTTTCTGCAACATATGCTTTTTGTCAAAGATCAGATGACTAGATATGCCTGGGGTTGTTTCTGTATTCTATTCTATTCCAGTAATCCACACATCTGTTTTTGTGCCAATATCATGCTGTTTTTATTATTGTAGCTTTGAAAAAGAACTTGAAATCTGGGATTATGATGCTTCCTGCTTTCATCTTATAAATCAGGACTGCATTTGCTATTTTGGGTTTCTTATGGCTCCATACAAATTTTAGGATTGTTTTCCTAGTTCTATGAAGAATGCTGTTTCATATGAATTTTAGGATTATTTTTACCAGTTATCTAAGGAATGTTATTGGTACACATTAGCACTGTGTTTTGGCAGTATAGCCATTCTCATAGTAATGTGACTGTCTCTCCAGGAACAGGGAGTATTATTCCATTTTCTGATGTCCTCTTCAATCTCCTTTCTTAGAGAACTAGAGTATTAATTTTAATGGTCTTTCATTCCTTGGTTGAATCTTAAGGCATGATGTTTTATTTATTTATTTTTTGTGAGGCTATTGTGAATGATATTTGCTCTAATTTGTTTTTGTGTGTGCTCATACAACATTTTAATTTTCACACTTTTTTTTTCTTCAAAGTTTATTGATAAACAGCAATGAGACAGTTTC